ATACAAACAATATTGTTTTGAATTTTTCACATTAATTACAGATTTTTGAATACCCTCAAAAACATAATTAAATTACCAATGGCTGTGGATTTTGCATTATTCACTCTCATATTGTGTGGAGAAGGAATTATTATGTCAAAGGTATATATATATCAATTATAACAATGAGACTTAATAAGAATTAATAATAATATATAAATAAAAGTTGCTTCAAAAATATTACTTTCAAGAACGGATTTGCCAATACAATTCTGTATCAGAGCCATTATGTAATATTTAATTAACAATGCGATTATTCATACACGTAATGAAATCGTTTTTATACTATTAGGCAAAAATGAAATAATATTAAAATATTTGAATATTTTGCAGTTTACATCTCCTTTAATGATTTCCATGTTCACCATTTGCAATCATCAGTCAGTCATCGAATTATCTAAAAATCAATTACTATAAAAATATTCGTCTTGCCTCACAAAATCATAACATATGTTATATATGCACATTATCTACATTATGCATTATTACATTTATTGATGTTACAATTTGATATATATTACATTTATTAATTTCCTAGATGTCCTTTGGCTTTGAACTGCTATTTACAATAGCATATCTATTTTCAATATCATTCCAAGCTCTATTATACTACTGGCATGCAAATGAAGTTTCAGTACAGGTAATAGTAATATAATAGTTCAAATGAGTTAGTTTTTGGCTCTTTTTTACGTTTCACTATCAGAATTTCACCTCGAGTTCACCGAAATTTATATATTTATTTTGATTAACTTAGTTTGTAATGGGGTTTTGTAGTTGTAGCAAAAACTATCATTAGTAGGTAAAGTTCCAAACTCATTTTTAAAAACTAAGTTGAATAATCAATAGAAAAAAGGAAAATATGAGCGCCTAAATAAACTTTATTGATGTAGAAAAGTCCTTGAACTTATATTTCATTATGTATTATAATTGCAAACAAACTCGATGTCTCAAACCTCGTGGTTTATAAAAATGTATACAGTCATATTTTCTTACTATTAATTTTATTTATCATCGTTAGGCTAAGGAAATTGCATCAGCAGTATACGATTCTCCTTGGATACATGATGATAATAATTATAAACGAGCTCTGCAACTGATGATCCAAAACACCCAGAAAATTATTACTATCAAGGCAGGTTTATTTCCTATGAACTTGGAAACTTTCATCATGGTAAGACTCAATCAGGTCAAAATAGCAAAGTAAATTAATAGAAAATGACAATAAAATAATCCAAATATTTAGCTCAGTTTTTACATGATCAACCAAATATATATTATAGCAAAAGGTCAATATATGCAATTTGTAGATATTTTAATAAGGTTTGTGAACAGCAAATAAGTTTTAGTTATTAATTATACGTTATCGTTAGGTTAATAATTGGTAGAACGTAATAATATTATAATAATAATATTAATAGTAATAATTGTTTTTTCTTTTGTGGGCAATTGTAAACTAAATCTATTTTTTTTAACTATCCTAATTTTTTTCATACTTACTATAAAAATAAATAATGAAACAAATAACCTTGATATCCAAATACCTTCAAAAATTATATTCCAAGGTTGCATACTCTATTACATATAATATATTTAATATATTGAAATAATTAAAATATCTATTTTTTTAAATTGTATTAACGTAAATTTACAAAAATCTAAGTAAGTGCAATACAAAAAAATGAGAACAATATCATTTCCACTGATTTTTGGTAAAAGCAAATTTGGGATTTTGGTGATGCCAAACAGAATTTATATTATTTAGTCAACAAACAATAAACATATTTTATTATATAGTATTATAGTAGTTTATATAGTATTATAGTAGTTTATATAGTATTATTATACTAAATAAATATCATAAAATTAATACATAATTAAATATTTCAGATCGTTCGAATATCCTACAGTGCTTTTACTATATTAGGCCAAGTGGGTTAAACTAATCAAGAGAAAACTGGCCTAAATAGTAGATTTTTTATAATTTCATTAAATAACAAATGAATTTCACATTTGTTTAATGGATATTAATATTAGCATATATATGTAATAATATACTCTATGTTAATTTAAAAACTAATACAGTAATATGATTTAAAATCTTGGAAAATATTTATTTGAAAGTTTTAGAATGCATGTATAATGTATCTCACTTTATTTTTGTATTATTGTTAAAATATATTATTTTATATTTTAAAACTGGAATAGTGATAAAAAACTAGAAATAATTGAACCGCGTTTCAAGAAATTTTCAATACATGATGCTTCGTCAAAATTGTTTGTCACATTTTTATGTGATGCCATGTTATGATGTTAAATGTAATGTTATATATACATTTGTAATTCAAATGTCCCGCCATTATTATTAGTGATGTTGGTAATGGTGTTTTCTCCCACCTTAAGCATGTATCCGCCATTTTAAATTCTTGTTAATGTAAAACTATGTAAAATAAACTCTCTTTCCTCTAGAAAGTAAAACAAGCAACACTAAAATAAATTGGTATCATTTGAAGGAAGCATTTTTATTTTTTCCAATAGACAAATAAAATGTAATAATATCAAATTAACAACTAGTAGTACATAGCATCGTGCCATAGGCAAATTGCTAGAACTTCATGTACCGTAATGAAATAATCGAGAAATTTTAAGTGTTTTCGAATATATTAATATAAATACTATAGATTTCATTATTCGTATGTTATAGAATAGACAAAAATAAGAGCTTATAAATTGGACGATGACGTTCATATAAGTTTACATTACTTTTCATTTCTTCTGAATTGTTGAAAAAAAATTTGATGACCGATAATTTTTTATGATGAACTTAATACAGTTAATGAACTCAATGAATTATTCAGTATTCTAAAAAAAATTATAGATTTTGAAAAACAAAATATGAAGTTTCTGCAGTTTCTAATGTAGCGATGCTCCCGGAAACGTTGACGAAGAATTGTATCCACACAAAATAAACACATACTGGTAATAAATAAAATAAATAATAACATTAACCAAAACACAATTTAAAATATAATGTGATTTATTTGCTGGATGTGGTCTCCTTGAAATACAAAATGGAACAGGACGTACATAAACACAATAAGCCTAATCGCATAGTCATAGCATACTTCACTCTGTATTACAAAGATAAGACCCGCGCGAAATTTGAATACACAAATACTTTTGTCCATATTCCCGGGCGATGCAAAGCATCCAAAATTTTTCATTATTAACATTAATTAGGAATATTACATTAACATTTATCAAAATTGTAACTTAACCTAAAATATATAACATAAATGAATAATTTGATCGTAATCTCAATTTGATACACATATTTTCGAAGAGTGGACTGTATAAAAATAATAATAGTAATCAATAATAATTCATTTTAAAGTATATATCATAATTGAGTAAAATCTATTCTAACATTCTAACAATACATTATTTAAATTCAATTTATAAGATGGAATTTCACATATTTATTCTATCGGAAGAGGTACAATTTTAGTTAAATATTTTTATTCTAAATATTGATTTGACCATGTTTTCCAAATTGATCACGCATGATCGTAATCTGTTTATAAAATTTTAATTTATTTGCACTCCAATTTGGATTGTATAGTTCTGGTACAGGAGTCATTATATCACCTATTAAAAAATGACTGGGGAATAAATATGACGCATCTGTGCTGTCATCCGACATACTTAATAAAGGACGTGAATTCAATACTGCCTCGACCTGTGCAAGTAATGTAACATATTCCTCGTAAGTTTAACAACCCAATCACTCTACGCAAATATGATTTCATTATTTTTATCGACCCCTCCCATAAACCGCCAAAATGTGGAGCATATGTAGGTGTAAATTGCCAAATAAAAACTAATTGTGTAACAGCTGAACTTAAAGGTTTTAATTTAGAATATAAGTTCTGATCAGTTCCGAAGTCATCCATAATACTTCCGAAACTCTCTTGTTGTTGTACGCGTAAAATAATATTTTTTAACGAATTATGTATTTCATTCATAGTTAAATATTTTAAATATTCTTTATTGGATCTATATTTTGGCAACCATCTTAAAATAAAGGCAACTACTCTAAATAACGTGGCAAATTTGGAAAAAACGATAGTAGAATCACTCCATAAAAACCGAATTATTAAATTTAATATCGACATTAGTACATACATATTTATATAATTTAGATAATAAAGGCGCAGCGAACAGTTCAAGACGCGGTAATGTAATATTCTTAACTGGTGCTACCCTAGATTTAGCGCATAATAAATTGGTAGAAGTAGTTTTATTAGAGTAAAATTTTTTAATATATATACATGCGCCATATGCCGATAGAGATGCGTCTGCAAACCCGTGGCATTCTATCTCAGAAATAGATAAATGTTTCAAAATGCATCGCAAAATAGAAATATTTTTTAAATTTGGTAACAATTCCTGCACTAACATTTTCCCCACAATTGTAATAAGAGCTATTAGCCCCAATGGATCAAATATTTGTACAATTGTGGCCAACATTACTCTTTTCGTAATATTGGTTTCCGATAAGTTGGACGGAGAAGAAATTTTAAAAGTATCATTCATAAGATCTAAAAACAAGCCTAAAGTTTCAATTGAACTTTTGTCATCCGTAAAAAATGAATTTAAGATTTTCCGTTTTGAAACTGGTATCTTATTTAAAATAAACTTATTATTACTATTAAAGTTAACCGTCTTTATAGGCACTTTATCACAAATATTTTCTAACACATTTGTTCGTTGTTCAATGAATTTAAAAATTTCAGATATTGTAGGTAATGTTTTTGTAGATTTAGCTAAATGCCATGCTATTTTAATATTATAATCTAACCTTTTGTTTAACAACAATAAAAGAATTAAATCCCAATGCTTTGCTTCCTCGAACATAGCAATGAGTGATTGGTAATGAAATCTATTAATATTTAAAAATTGTTTCAATGAATCGTGTGTACTTTATTTATATAAGGAATAGAATCTATAGCACTTGAGTGATTATTAATAATCAAAAATTTATTATTATAAGTTTCAAAAGGTAAATCATAAGCGACCTTATGGTTATCGTTAGTCAAACTTAATGAAGAAATGAAATTAGAAGCTGGTGGAGTTAACGCTCCTTTCAAATAATGTATTTTCTGAACCGGGCTTAATTTATCATTATTATGTATTGGTGATTCATAAATATCTTTAAAGAAAAGCCATTGACTATTGTCACCGTTAAATTTAGGTAGAGAAATTACTGGCAATTTTACATCTGACGTTGCTTCACTCTTTAGCCCCTGTTCAACTTTTACAACAAACTTACTTATATGTTGTTCCAACGAAGCTAATAGTGATAAGCTGAGATCATAAAATTTGTCGTATTCATTTGTGAATTTTCCTGGACTATGCCTTTCCAATACACCATATAATAGGTCAAGTTTCTCCATGCATTCGTTTAACTTTGTTTTCCTTACACTAAATTCAGAAACATTAGTTACATTACTTGCAGCAGTTATAAATTTTTGAAAGCGTTCAATATGCTTTTTAACAATGGCAAATTGTAATAAAACTCTATTGATATCAGTCATTTTAAATAATGGGTAATATAATGACTTTACAAGGTGGAATTGTACACTTTGATAAAACGTATACGATATATCTTTACGATAACAAAACTTTAAGTAATGGTTAATATAATGACTTTAAAAGTGGAATTGTACACTTCAAAGCAATTTATACAATATATCTTTACAATAACAAAATTTTAAGTATGGTTAATATAATGACTTTAAAAGTGGAATTGTACACTTCAAAGCAATTTATACAATATATCTTTACGATAACAAAATTTTAAGTAATGGTTAATATAATGACTTTAAAAGTGGAATTGTACACTTCAAAGCAATTTATACAATATATCTTTACGATAACAAAATTTTAAGTAATGGTTAATATAATGACTTTAAAAGTGGAATTGTACACTTCAAAGCAATTTATACAATATATCTTTACGATAACAAAATTGAGGTATAATTTGAACAATAGTAATTTACAAAATATATGAAAGAAAATATAAAAATGAGTATATAATATAGACTCAGCAACAGGTTGTTACTTGAATACCTCGCTCTACCTCGTGTGCTGTCCAGAGAATCCCTGTGTATTGTCCAAAAAATTCCTGTGTGTGGTCCAAAATTCCAGTAAAAACTTATCGTTCCTGAATTAATTTGTCCTCAGCAATGTATCCCGAGATATAGCACGTAGTAGTAACTCCAGATAGAGGTTATGTGTCAAATGGCTTGGCGGCGTCGTATAGCTTGTATAGTATAGGAATAACTTGCCAAATCCGACTCCAATTACACGAAAATGCTGTTCCCGATCATGAATTAAGCAGTGTTTTTAATATTCACCTAACTTGAATCCAAGAATGTATATTTCCAATTTGTTGACCCACGTGTACAGCATAAACAAAACTTGTATGTGTATTTTTGGTTATGGTACTACTAAATATGCACTGATTTTAACTATCCGTGAGATGGACCAATTTTATGGTAATAAATAAAATAAATAATAACATTAACCAAAACACAATTTAAGATATAAGATGATTTATTTGCTGGATGTGGTCTCCTTGAAGTACAAAAATGGAACAGGACGTACATAAACACAATAAGCCTAATCGCATAGTCATAGCATACTTCACTCTGTATTACAAAGATAAGACCCGCGCGAAATTTGAATACACAAATACTTTTGTCCACATACACATACACATACACACACAGCCTATTTTTTAAGATATGCTAAAATGTTCTGAAACCTCTAAAACGTACAGATATTCAAACGTTCTCGTTTTTTATTTTTACGATTACTATAACTTATCCTACGGAAAGTTGAAAATCTTAAAATTTTATTGTATGCCAATACTTTTTTTCTGATTTCACCCATGTTATTTTTTCAAAATCGAAGGAAAATCGTGATATTCGTATATACCGTATAACATGAAACATTCATCAATAATTAATCAATGATTACAATTACCAAAGGTAACATGTAGACTATTTCATTTATAGCCCATCTATTATTTTTTATATTTTTCCAATATATATACAACATATTGTGTCTGATGGCTGTAATTAGTTCATAACTGATGATATAACTAGATGTATGTAATATTTCCACCATATTTTTTCAGTAATTTATGTACATTCGCATTATATTAATGTTATAATGGAAGATACCATACTAAAAAATAGATTACTAAAAATTCCGTTGACAGTTTTATATTGGTGCGGTTTTGTAACTTTTGAAAATCGAAAATTTCAATTATTCAACAAAATAAAATCTCATATTCTGCTGGTTACATATTGTATATATGTATCAAAAGAAATATTCACGCTCTTCATATTACACAACGATCGAATTAGCCATATAACGATCAATTTGAGCAATATATTATTTTATATAAGTATTTGCATAAAAGCTTGGATATTTATTAAATACCGCAAACAATTTACAGAATTGTTTACTACAGTAGACAAAGATATACGTTTATTAATTGAAACTTACGGGCAAGAAGAAAATAAAATTTTGGATGACCATATTAAACATAGCAAAATTGTTATGTGGTTACTTCATGCAAATACGGTGTCAGCTGCATTATTATGTGGATTATTTTACATATTTATATGTTTTATATCTGAAAAGTGAGTGACCATTACTATTATAACCAAAGTTAATGCATGTATATTAAACATTTAATTTTCTAATGATTATACCTAAATTCAATGTATAATAGTTCAATTGAAATGATTCGATTTATGAAAATTGTGTTTTATAATTGTATAAGAATGTATTTATTTGATGCAGTTAATTTAAAATAACTATATCCTTATCCAAATAGCCAAAATAAATTATTTGAAACATATTATAAGACAAACTAATCAAGACTTTATTAGGAAGGCGACAGTAAATTCTCTAAGACCAAGTAATGTTTTTTTTTGACGATTCCCACTAAATTTTATATCGAGCAAAGTCTATAATTTTATAGATCGTTCCTATATTCATATACGGAACAGCAGGGCATAAAGTTCCGCGAGTAAAAAGGTCCACTACGATATTTTAAATACCAGTAAAGTTAATAAATTTTAAGGACCAACTGATCCATTAACGTGGTATATAGCATCGTGCCTTGAGGCAAATTGCTGGTACTTTCAGTACTGTAATGTTCGAGGAATATTGTCTAATATTTATAAGAATTGTATAAACTGAATTACAAATTTAAAATTATTAATTTAAAGTGAATAAATGAGCTTTAGAACTTTAGCCAAAATTAAAATTAAAATCTAAATTATTTTCGATATACAAAAAAAAATTTTTTTGAAAAAAAAAAGATTTGATTTTGAACTGAATTTTTTTTTATCTTGCCAAGAGCAATTTTTTTGTCAACACAAGCAGAAAGTTTTTTGAATCGTTCAAATCGGATGCTTAGTTCTCCCAAAACTGCCATTTTTTACACATTTAGCATCTTTGAAATGGCTGGACCTGCCTTTGCCGAAAACTAATCACCGCTACTCCCAATCATTACAAATTAAATGTTTTTTTGCATCATTCAAATATGGTAAGCCGATCTCTAAAACTTGATTTCTATTTTCTGTACTCTTTGCTTCGTATCTCCGTAACGGCTGGACCTGCCTTTGTTAAAAACTAATCACCACTTCTTATCAATATCAATCGAATGTTTTTTTTTTATCAATTCGGTTGATCCATGCGCCCGAAAACGTGTCAAAAAATTACGGACACACAAAACACATACACACACAAATATTCAGAGACCTCTATAACGTGAAGATATGCAAAAATTTTCGTTTTCGATTTTTGGCCTATAACTATAACTTTCCCTACGGGAAGCAGCTTTACAAGAGTTAAATTAAATATATAGTAATTCCAAATCTTCTAATAAATATTTCTGACGAAATACCAGATCAGGGTTATAAACAGTGTTATCTCCAAAAAATGCTATTATTTTGTAAAATTCCTTTAAAATTAAAATGAAACTTGGACCTGTTTGCCTCCTGGCCGTCACAATTTATCCCGTCTATGGAGTAAAAAGAACCAGGTTAAAAGTTTCAGAAGATAATTAATTTCTATAACTAGGGATTAACTGGAATTTTTACTGTACATTGTTCGATACTGTTTTTTGTTCGATATGTGTTATTTGTTATGATGTAGTTCATTTGGATTTTGACAGTATAATTACTTAAAGTCAAATTAGACCTTTGTTCCCCGTTCTACTCTACGTGTACTGATTGTTCAACCAAAGCGATTGAACTGTTATTTTGCACAATAAAATATATGAATTATGATTTATAATCAAACGGTTTTAAAATAAGTTTTTTTACTTTCAGATTACCAATGCAAATAAATGCATTCAATACAGATGATTGTAATACTTGGTTTTCACTCTATGAACAAAACTCAACGATTTTTATGATGATTGTATGTTATTTGTTAATTTTTGATAACCTACTATTCGCACAATTAAATGGTATTATAATTACGGTAATGATTTATGTGTCATGTATGCTTAAAATATTGCAATATAGAATAAGAAATCGATCCGTTAACCTAAAAAAAGGCTCATGTCACAATTATAATATGTTAATTAAAAAAGATAATGAAAAATTTATCGGCGATTGTATTCGAGAACATACACGTATAATCAAGTAAGTAAGCAGTGATATTATGTACTGTAATAATAATAATTTAATAATTTATGATTATACTGCAGATTGAATAATAATTTTGATGGAATTTAATTTATATTTAATTAGATTCTAAATTATATTTTACATTCTAGATTCTTACGAGATTTCGAGAATATAATAAAAGTTCCAATTTCTGCTGATTTTGTAGTATATATGTTGTTATTATGCTGCCAAATATTCGTTGGAAGCAAAGTAAGACTTTGATAATGAATTATTTGTACGTCAATAAATATTACTATTTTATCTTCTAGTTAACTTTTGGATTGGAGTCAATATTTATATGGCAATATTTTATATTATTGTTTGTGGTGACGTTGCTGTACTATTGGCATTCAAATGAAATACAGTTGCAGGTAGAATTATTTACAAGCAATTATCTTTTTCAATGCATATACAGAATTTTCAAATATTATGTAATTAATTGTGTCTGGAAACAATTCAAATTGATATTGAATAAATAGATTCGTAATATTTTAACTCTCATAAAATATGTAACCTATATTTAATTCGATGGTTTTTGCTAATTATCATATGAACTAGGCGCTAAAGTCATATGAACTAGTAAGATCGTAAGAATAGTTATCTCAATAACGAAAAGTGTCAAGATTATTTTTTTACAAGAATTATATTTCTACACTTTGAATTTTCGTTTAAACCACTGCCTCTTGTATAGATTTGATTCAGAATAATAAATGCAAACAATACGGTAACTGGCAAAATATTGCGACAAAAAAGGTGGGTACCTTCTTTAGGAGCGGGCGATACGGCGTAGTACAATTTTAGTATAGTTTGCCCAATATAGTGTTAACTACATCTTATTA